CCACTTTTAGAAAATGCATTCGAGCTATGGGATGGATGCTGTGTTAGAGATTCTGAAAAAATTGAGCGCTTGCAGTTTGAGGCAGCCAGAATTATTACTGGACTTCCGCAATTTGCAAGTAAAGAGTCCCTACTTTTTGAAACTGGATGGGAAACTTTGAATTCTAGAAGAAATAGACGTAAATTATGTTTATTTCATAAAATACACAACAATAATGTTCCAGAATACCTTATGGATTGTATCTCGGATTATACAGATGATAATTATTATAATACTAAAAACCGTTCTCACTATAGAGAACCGAGATGTAGATTGGACATATTTTTTAAATCTTTTTTCCCTTCTTTAATTCGAGCATGGAATTTATTTCCGTTAGATATTAAATCCATTCAATCATCTCCAAATTTCAAAAACACAATCCGGCGAAATGATATTTCATTTTTAGTACCTAAATATTATTTCATTAGAAACAGGATGGAAAATATACTGCATACAAAATTACGACACAGATGTAGTCCGTTAAAAGCTGATTTATACAGAGTTTATTTAGTAAATGACCCAAGTTGTGAATGTGGGTGTCCATTAAAAGATTCGATTCTTTTTTTCTTAGAATGTCCACTCTACATACATTTAAGAAATCAGCTCTTTGAAAACATTCAACACTTAGTTGCTATTTCCATAGAACATATTTTATTTGGAACAGAAGAAATTAGTGTTGAACAAAACACAATCCTTTTCAGAAATATACATAGTTATATACGCCATACAAAAAGATTCTTTGATTAATATTGCTATATCTTAAAGTGTACTCGTATCCAACTGTTACTGTTTAAACATACCATATTTATTGTATATATTTTTCATATTGTACTGAAATATATAATTGCTGTCATCTTGAAATTTTGTATATTGTACTTATTTGGAAAGGATTATTTTAAGTTGTTATAACTTGTATCCAATCCTATTGTATATTTAGACAATAAAATATGTTTAAACTAGACGCAAATGCGTATTCTTATCCAGACGCGGTAGTAAGAGCTTGACATGTGATTTTCAAGCACGATCATCATTGCTTACGGTATTCTGACCTCTAGCTGTTTCTCTTTTGTTTTCTTTTTTGAAGTAACTGTCCTTTTATCAATTTTGACATTTTCGAAATGCCAAGGATTTTCTACCTAAGGAATAGATTACTTAACTTCGTACTTTATTTGGCTTTTATTAAACTATTTTCATTCGCGCGTCACTGGTGATTCTTTGTGGACTTAACTCCCGCTGGCGTACAACATATTAATCCTGGTATCTTTTCATATCTACATGTCTTTTTATATAAATTGGTTCTTTTGAAAGTATGTTTATGTATTCATAAAACTTCTGAAAATAAGATATTCTTCAAAACCAAGTTTCCCTGTAGAATATTTGGATTGATTTAAGAAAATCAGGAAATCCTTAAAATTTGAGATGTTTTATGAGACAAAAATAAGTCTCTATATAAGAGGTCCAAATGAAGCTGGTGTGTTACTTTCAAGAAATATATATACGAAACATTCTTTAAAGTTGCAAGCCACAGGGTTTCACTTCACATGGAAAATTTATCTATACAATATCTACCATGAGTACAGACAAATTCAATAACGAGTTTACAATATGAAGGAAGCTCAATATAAAGATATGATAGATAAAGTAAATGCATCCAGATTATAAAGCAAACTCAGTGCTTAAATTTATATTGTAATTGGTTTGTGCAATTTGCATTATACATCCGGTTTGTACAAACTGGGATTTGCAATAGGTTTATGAGTACAATCCCAAGTAACAAATGAAATAGTCGATTTTTAAAATGTATATTCAAATAGTAGCTGTATATATACACATTTCTATTCACAACTATCCAACATCAATTTCAACTGACTTGTGCAAGAATGTACATACTAATACAGATTTTTAATAAAGGTAGTTTAACTTCATCATTATATTCTTCTATTCACATTCAATTATTTCAATTCAAATGGAAACACAAATTCAGCAACAATCTTTTGGTGACCAGTCAGCGGTCTTAGGTTCACGTATTGCCTTTCTTTTTTTAAAGAAAGAAACTTGTTTTATCACGGGTGGATTGATCAGTATGAGGTATTTGTCCGCTACGTAACTATGATATCTTCGTGTTCATTTTTGATTTTTTTTGTATTCTTCATGGGTGCCATTATGTTGTGAAAAACTCTACATATGACGAACGCCTACATTAATCGGGGTATCTATAAGTGGTGCTTTCTACTAGAATAAACTTGACCGTTCAGAAAATTTACTGGTAACTGCATGCACGGTTGCCTATAATTGCTTACATCCACTTCATTTGAATTTTTGTGGATAGTTGTCTCATTGGCAATCATACCAAATCTCCTGATTTTTATATGTATGTTAAACGATGACACATGACTATATCGAATCAATTTTCTGGTATACAAAGTACATCATATTCAGTTTAACAATCGTACTAGGTGAATTCTCTCAGTGAACTCATAATTAATTCATTCATTGTTCAGCTCTGGTAAATATATAAGCAATTATGAAAAGTATATTCAATCGTCTGAACACAATCAACACGGTCCACTTATCAATTATTTAATCATAAAAATGCAACTATTTTGCTTCTTTTTTTGTCCACAGAAGTAATATAATAAATGTATTATAGAGATAAGAATGTGAAAGCATTTAGTAGTTTAAATAAAAAAAATGCCGATTCAATAACATCGGTGGTGCCTGTTATTTTTCTTATCAACATTTTGCTGTCACTTAATTCTTGAAACTACATATATGTTATATAAGTAAACTAACTAAAATGATTGAATTTTTTTTTAATTTAAAGATTCTGGATATCTATAAAATCTCTCAACTAATATTGTTAAAAGCAAAGCAACTTAAATACACAAAAGGGGTGATTAATAAACAAAAAACGGTTGTATAAAGAAGGGAGAAATTTTTAACAAAACGAATTTCCATCGAACCGGTATTGATATAAAGTACTCCAGAAGGATGAGCAGACTGAGTATGCTTTACATCTGACACACGTCGTTTTCCTCAGTGGTCAAATGTAACAATGGGTCAATCTGTGATGGTCAGTATCGGCAGGAATGCGTGAATCCCTCTGTAATAATTGTCGACAAATTTACCTAATGCCTATCGACCAACACGTGCTAATTTCAAAGATACGATTTGATTGGTTTATTTATTCAATAGTGCCAAAAGCCTATACATGTGTGACTGTAAAATGAAACACAAATAATAATATAAATTCATATAACAACCCGAGAACATATTTAAGAATTGAATGCTTTTTTGTCATTTTATTGGGGTGTAAAAATGTTGACCGAAGCACATTTTTATGAAGCGCCTAAAAATTTATAAAAAGAAGCATTCAATTCTTTTAATTTCATTTTTCTGCTACAACCATGAAATTAAGAGTTATATCAAGCTTTCCGTAAGTTTTTCTATGCCTTGTTTTAACATTGTCGTGGATAACACGTGCAGTCATAGCCATTGTATTTATTGATATGGAAATAAAATTTGATGTTCGAGTGCCTCGCGATTGTTGTCAGTCAATCAATATGAATTATAATGAAACATATAATTTAATTATACACGTATAAAACCTAGTTTAGTGCGTTGAATACAGGTTTTAGAATAACCTTCACCAAGTTATCTCGAGACAAAAAGGTACAGACCCAAAACACATCGACTGTATGGGATCAAATACAGTCTCGCTATTACAGTCGTGGGTTTTGTTATGAATTCTTTTCAGGCGATTACTATCTCTTCTGTTTTTAATCAAAATGTCAAGTTCGGTGTCCCAAAACTTACGATACCGATTTGATTTGTTTACTCTTTCGATAGAAAATTCAGCAGCATCAAGTACGGACTTTTCCCCAGTGATCTCAAATTGTATTGATATTCGAAGGCATTCTCATAGTGTGCTCAGGTGCCCTAAATTTAGTTTTTAAGGTTGTTTGAAAAGTATTCCAATTAGTATTTTCATTTATTTTTCAAATAAAAGCCGATTTTTTAGGTTCGTTTTTTATTTTCCGCGTGTTTGTATTTATTTCGGTTCGTATTATGACATGATCACTATGTAGATCAAACAAACCTGTTAGTTTGCGGATAAGGGCCTCAGAAAGAAGGACGCAGTCGATTGTGGACCTTTGATTATTTAGAATACTTGTATAATGTCCTTCAAAAACAGAGAGGCAATTTAGAGCATTTAAGTCACTCGCATCTATGATGATAATTCACACATGATATTAAAGTTTGTAGCGTGACACTTTTCAAAACATTTTCCCGTTAAAGTCACCTTAAGTAAAATTTCATAACCAGAATGGATTTTCAAGTAGTTTATACATGATCATATCGGTTGGTTACCGATCGATTCCATCATTTGGAAAATATGCAATTCCAATAGCTGTTTTTGTAGTCTAGATAGAACCCGCAAACGTTCATGTTTATCAAGAAGTTTACCAAGTTAAGAAGGACAGGAAGTTCTGGTTTTAAACAAAGACCCATACCCCCTTTATCTTAACCTGATGACCTGCATTTTCCGAACCATGTATACTCATGGTCAAGGTTAGCGGGTCTATCATTTGATTTTAAAAAGGTTTCGATCATGCCAAATATACTTACGATATGATTAAGACACTGCGGATGTTTAAAAATCTATTTTAGAAATAGATTAAACTTTGGACCTACCATTTTGTCAACGTTTAGGTTTACGTTTTCCTTTTTACAGACATTTGCTTCACTAGAGCTATCGCCATTTACGGCGCTCGCTTCTTGGCCGAGAACCTAATGCATATTACAGGACTTAGCCTTATGGCTTTTACCATTACACTTGTGACAAGTGACAGGTGCCCCATGACGACATACAGCGGAAGTATGATTCCGCTCACCACAATACAAACATAATGTACCGTTGTTGAACATGTTGTAAACGCTATTTTTTCAATTTATTGCAGACACAAAATGCGAATACTGCCTCGTGGTAGACGAAAAGAAACTGTAATCCTATTTTTGGGTACATGTAGTGTATTGGGATTTATGAAACTAAACAGTGTTATAGATGCATACCCACGTACATCAATACACATTGAAGGTCAGTATATTATTCATAAAATAAAAAAGTCGGTGCTAATGATATAATTTGTATATGTTTAAACAGTCTTTAATTGTTGTTTATGTTTGTCATTCCTCTTTAACTGCTGGCTAATCCTCGTGAGCTGTTTATTATTCATCTGTTGGTTATTCCTCTTTATCTGTTGATTATATCTCGTTAGTTGTTGATTATTCCTCTTTAGCTGTTGATTATTCCTTTTTAGCTGTTGTTTATTCCTCTTTATCTGTTGGTTATTCCTCTTTAGCTGTTGATTATTCCTTTTTAGCTTTTGGTTATTCCTCTTTAACTATTGGTTATTCCTCTTTAGCTGTTGATTATTCCTTTTTAGCTGTTGATTATTCCTTTTTAGCTGTTGATTATTCCTATTTAACTGTTAGCTATTCTTCTTTAACTGTTGTTTATTCTTCTTTAGTTGTTGTTCATTCCTCTTTATCTGTTGATTATTCCTCTTTAGCTGTTGATTATTCCTTTTTAGCTGTTGATTATTCCTCTTTAACTATTTGTTATTCCTCTTTAACTGCTGATTATTCCTTTTTAACTACTGGTTATTCCTCTTTAGCAGAAAGTTGATGAACCAGGGTTATATCAAAGAACGTCTCTTCTTTTTTCTTAAAAAAAGTTCAATGGTAGATACTAAGACCTTGTTCGGTAGATACCAATACCTTGTTGATAAATATTCCGTATCAACTTCACAAATAATACATGAAGTATAGATTCTAGGTAATGACGTTGTTTATCATCTTAATTACGTTTTTTATTGTTCTCTTATTTGTCTTTGTAAATGATTAACCTTTCTGTTTAGTCCATTTTTGGTAATATTCTTTTGTATTTTTGTCTTTCATTTTTGTCTATATGCCATTTTGTTTTTCTTTGTTGACATATTTGTGTGTTTTATAGTGATTATTATATATAAAGATTATAACAATGTTGACTGCTGTACTCCTATTTTTGACATTTTTACCTATTATGTCTGTTTGTTTTGTTCACATATTGTTGTCAATATAATGGAATTGTATGCGACTGTCATACCAGTGAGAGGTTCAGCTAGCTATTAAACCAGGTTTAATCCACCATTTCCTTCATAAGGAAAGGCCTGTACCAAGTCAGGAATATGTCAGCTGTTTTCCATTCGTTTGATGTGTTTGAGTTTTTGATTTTGCCATTTAATAAAGGGCTTACCGTTTTGAATTTTCCCTGGAGTTCGGTATTTTTTCAATTTTACTTTTCTCTTTAAAACCCATCGTATTTGATACGTAGAAATACACCGCATACAATTCTAAAAATTAACCCCTATCTCCAATACCATTAACTAAAAATTATATGTTTAAACTTGTTCTTTTCAGGTGCAGGTAATGCAGTCTTATTGAATAAGGTACAAATTAAATCACAAAATTTAGAAAACTTCTATATTCACCATAATTATGTAATAAACACCTAAATTTTTGCTTCTATATTCTTGTTTCGGGGAAATACTTCTGATTCGTGTCAAGTTTGAACTTGACGTGGAACCCAGCATTGTCTGTAAACATCAAATGATTTAATTGATACATGTAATGTATTAAGACATTGAGAAGAACCATCAGTTGAATTTATTTTCTTTATTATTAAGGGGCATTTACTGAAAATATTATAATATAAAAAATCAAATCCGAAATAGATCAACCATTACATGATAACATGACTGATATGACGAGAAAGCTTAACTAATCAGTGGCATACAGACGTATAAATATACGGATGAACAAGCTTAGGGGAAAACTTTATGTCTTACACCACTCGGCAACAGCTTCAAAAAGATAAATATTTCAAACTATTTACTTTGAAATAAATATGAAATGTGTCGAATGTTAAAATGATATTGTTTTGTTTCAGAATTACACAGCTATAATGATTCAAAACAGTACTAAAAGAATAAAAACAAGTGTAAATGTAACCAGTGAAAGTACATCAAGCAATTCACTGTTACAATTGGTTACAAAATCGGCTCATTCTGAAACATTGGTAATGTATACAAGTTTTGAACATAATTGTCACATTTCCTTAATTTGATAAGTTGCAAATTACACTTTAATGTATAACTTCGCCATACTTTGAATGAGCCAAATGCATATTTTCATCTTCATTAATTTCTAATCATATATTCTAACTATCTATTAATTTCTAGTCATATATTCCAACTATCTATTATTAATGTATTGAATTAATTATATCACAAATAATTCTTATTGTAATATGTCATGTTTTACAAGAATGAACTAATGCATCAGCTTGCATAAAATAGTAATATACTGACGGACTTTAAAAACGCAACACACATTTTGATGATTTGATTTTGTTTAACCAAATCATGATTACTCTTTATATAATTGCTATGCATGCTTACCACACATCTTTTTGTTTAGAAAATTCACATTACTGGATTATTGAACATACCGGATTATTGATGGCGCACGAATTTCTAAAAGCGAAATTTGAAACCCATGCATGATTTTTTATAGTTTTTTTTCTTTGTGAATAAACTCATCATAGATACCAGAATTTAAATTTTGTATTTACGCCAGACGCGCGTTTCGTCTACAAAAGACTCATCAGTGAACCATTTCTTTGAATCCATACCACACTTAAATCAGTAAAAACATGTTTCATTTCCATATTGCGGGGACTCAGCAATGAAAATCTAAATCATGCCATTACAATGTTGCGGACAGGAATAAGGCAACTTGCCGTTGCTAGACAATGTCACGTCAGAACCTCCTCTTACAGTCTTCACACCAACGGTACAGACAGACGGGATATGTTAATGACCAGCCATGATCAGATCAACCTGAAGTGACAACGCCACGTCATTAGTTCATTACGCAGCTCCATTTGCGAGACAGGTTTACTACTGCAACGTAAATACAATTAAAGCCTACAGTTTAAACCACATAATTGCCAAATCTGACTGTAATTGGTGGGACAGGGGCAAAATCAAAAGTGACAAAACAAAACTTAAAACATGCCCAATAGAACTGGTTGACTTTTCTGTCAATCATTTAGGTGTTGGTACCAAGCAGTCATTGGCTTCGACGAGGCCACATCCATTAATAAGGAGAAACCCAGAGTTCGAGTGCATACTATATGATTTGAACATTAAACGTGACGTAATCAATCAAACTTTCGAACTGCAAACTTTATTTAAACAATGAAGTAATGAATGAAGTTTATGTTAGTATATTTATTTTATAAGTTTTACTTTTTTCAAAAAGAAAATAAAAAAATAATCTAGTCTTGCGTTTTTAAAGTCCGTTAGTATAAGAGAAATAAGAGAAGATAGTACAAGACACGTTGTTTTATTTTTCATATCATTTAAAATCTTGACAGAAATCAAGTATAAAGTCTCCGGGATCCACAGAGTTCACATTAAATTTCAGTGTAAGTGCAGCATTGCAGTATGGTCATTTCAGACCACAAAAAGGTATGTAATTAAGTTTTGTATTCTTAGGCGTCCTGAATATGATCTGACTATTTGTTCAAACAACTTTTCATTTCAAAGAATAATGTTTATTAATCGAGTTTTGTTAATCTTTTTCTATATCCTTTTGAAAGAAACTAGATACTATATTTTAAAATGACACACTGAAAAGATTACATAATTTATGACATTCTTCCCAATGTATATAAAAACCATCAAATTATAAGCCATGATGCAAATAACATATCCTATTGTGTCGGAACAATAATTTTGAATATTACAGTATGGCAGTCTATACAAAATAACGACAAAAAAGAACACGGCAATTTCGTATCGTACTCCATTAAGGGAAATAATTATCATATGATTTAAAATTATGACTGAACATGCTCGTTAGGACCCAACCTTCATTTAACATTAGAAAAAGACAGAAGAACATGAATAGAACAAATTAAGGACTGGTTGGCACTTTTGACAACTTCTAAAGAAATAAAAAAAAAATGAATGTTCCTACCTAAGAGAACTTGCAGTTTATAAAAGCTTGTTCAAAATCCCTATTTCAGCTGATAAATGGACCAATCGAGCATTTTTAAAGATAAAATTATTTTACCTCTGAAAGCTTTGATTAATCCATTTTGACCGCTACCTAATCATTGCTTGGTCTTTGGTTTTCTATGTTGTGTTTTGTGTTTTGTGTTCTGTTGTTTGTCTCTTGGTCTTTTTCGTTTTTAGCCATGAGGTTGTCAGAATGCTTTCGACTTATGAGTTTGAATATCTTTTGGTATTTTTCGCCTCTCTTTTTTAATGATATATAATATCTTTCTTATGCTTGTATTGAGTGTTCAATGTGAATCAATATTTAAACATTATCGGAGTAATCAGTATCAATACAATTGATGAATGGAAAGTTATTTGCTAAGCTCAACCATTATTTAATACTACCATGGTTCAACCTAAATTTCTAGTTTTTATCTGACCCCCTTCATAGATTATTATTAGTTTGTGGCATGAAACCATTGATCATTTGAACTCTTTTGTAGGTTTTCTAACGATTGGGATCCCATCGATAAAACGAGAGAGGTTTAACTACATCCATAAAACAATCGACTCATTATTAGCAAACTCGTCACCTGAGGATAAGGAAACGGTTACTATAGTGATAATGTTTAACGATGATGATGCTGACTGGAACAATGAACGAGCATTAAACGTTTCAGAAACGTATGACGAATATATACAATCTGGACATATTCAAGTAATAACTTTACCGCCACAATTATATCCGGATTTCAATCTTATCCCAAGGACGTATAACGATAGTGTCGAACGATTAACGTGGAGAAGTAAACAAAATATTCACTATGCATTTTTATTCAAATATTGTCATAATATCTCAGACTTTTATATGCATTTAGAAGATGATGTTGTTGCAGCTAAAAATTATATTCAAGACGTTAGGAAATATAAACGAATTTTTATGAACAATTGGTTTTTAATTCGATTTTCAAATATGGGATTTATTGGAGTATTTTTTAAATCATCTAACTTATTGACAATTTCTGATTTCTTTCTGTTGTTTTATGCCGTACAACCTTGTGACTTTTTAATGAACATTATTGCAAAAATAAAACTACAGGAAAAAGAAATACGATTTCGTCCAAGTTTGTTTCAACATCATGGTATAATCTCATCTCTAAAGAATAAAAAACAGCTCATAGTAGACCGTTATTTCAAAGGAACAAAAATTATACGACGCAAAAAATATTACAATCTGAATCCACCAGCGGAGGTGGACACGACTATGGTTGTATACGAAGAATACACAGCCGATCAAGCTTATTTTATAAATGATAAATACTTTTGGGCAATAAGCCCTCAAAAAGGACAAACATATACAGTTGTATTGAAGGAGCAACAAACTTTAAAAGCTCTCGTTATCGTTGGAGCCTTTCCAACAAAAAAGACAGACTATATTGAAAATGGGGAAGTGCAAATATCCTCATCCCAACATTGCTCCGATTGGATAAAACTTGGAGAGTTAACTAAAGGCTCGTTTGATACTGCAAAAGTCAAGAATCCAGACATTGCAATTTTATTGAGAAACATAACTTGTATTCAAATCGAGGTAACAAAATCACAGAGTAATTGGGCCATTATTAGTGAATTAGTCTTGAAACTAGATGAAGAAAAGACTTAGTTATCAATAAAAAAAAAACATTGTTTTCATTTTTTAGAACATTTTAGATGTCAATATTTCAGTTTTATGAAAATGCATACCCCAATTTAAATATAGAAATAAAAAGATGTGGTATGATTGCCAAATGAGACAACTATCCACCAGAGACCAATTAGCTAAACCAATATTGTAGAGCAAGCTATAAAAGGCCCCGAAATGACAAAATGTGTTTTAGTCATATAGTTCATAAGAGGTCTGCAAAATTATGCTTTAGAGATGTATGCTTTTGGGAATGTTGCATTATTGTGGAAGAGAAGAAATTGCTTTAAGCAGTTTTATGTTACATGTTTCCGCAGTTAATGGTACTTATCGACCCGAACTTTCTTTGCAAAGCTTTATTTATATATTGTTTATCGCTTACATAGTCGAATTTTTGTTGGTATTGCAAAAGTAAAAAATCCTCTTGATTTTATCCATTTTTATTGTTTTTATAAAATAAAATGTGGGATGATTACAAATGAAACAACTTACCACCAGAGACCAGTAATGTTTTGCTACCATGTATAAGCTTATGCTAGTGATTTCTGATTATGTTATGAATTTTTAATTTACTGTTACCTAAGGACATTATTCTCATCTTACGTATGTATGTGCTTACGTGGCATTTCATTGTGCTGTATATATTTTAATCAATGGATCGTTTTATTTGATGTTTATGTGTGCTTATTTTTTTTTTACCTTTGCTGGTTTGATGTTTTGTATATATGTTTTAATCGGTGCTTAAAGCTTTCTTAAGCATGGAATAACTTGACGGGTGATGCTTTCTTAGCAAGAATGATAAACGGTTTCAACCGTTTTAACTTTTTTTTATTCGAGCGTGACTGATGAGTCTTTTGTAAACGAAACGCGCGTCTAGCGCAAATACAAAATTTCAATCCTGGTATCTATTATGGGTTTATTCACTTATTTATGAAATCATGCGATTGTTGACTGCTGTATCCTTTTTTTTTTGACATTCTTACCTTTTATAAAATTGAGAATGGAAATGGGGAATATGTCAAAGAGACAACAACCCGACCAAAGAGCAGACAACAGCCGAAGGCCACCAATGGGTCTTCAATGCAGCGACAAATCCCGCACCCGGAGGTGGTCCTCAGCTGGCCCTTGAATAGAATTGTGTGCTAGTTCAGTGAAAATGGACGTCACACTAAACTCCAAAACATATAAATGAACTAAAATTAAAAAAAACCATACAAGATTAACAATGGCCAGAGGCTCCTGACTTGGGACAGGCGCAAAAATATGGCGGGGTTAAACATGTTTTGTGAGATCTCAACCCTCCCCCTATACCTCTAGCCAATGTAGAATAAAGAAACTGTTTGTTTTGTTCACATATTGTTGTCAATATAATGGAATTGTATGCGACTGTCATACAAGTGAGAGGTTTAGCTAGCTATACAACCAGGTTTAATCCACCATTTTCTACATAAGGAAATGCCTGTACCAAGTCAGGAATATGACAGTTGTTTTCCATTCGTTTGATGTGTTTGAGCTTTTGATTTTGCCATCTGATAAGGACTTTTCTATTTGAATTTTCCTTGGAGTTCGGTACTTTTTAAAACGGTTTTTGTTTGTTACCTTGATAAGCATGTTAAATGCAAATCACTGGTTGCATTCTGTATGTTGTAGTGTTGTCACGGAAATGAAGTTCCAAATGTAAGAAATATTCTTTAATGTTATTTTTCACTAGATGCAATATTACAATATTGTTTCTGACGGAATAAAGGTATATACTATGTGTTCCAACAGGAACATTCATAAAAGCATTGTTTATACATTGTGTAACAAAGTGTCTAGAGGAACTTCTGTTAGGATGAACACATATACAGGACTCTATACGTTGACGGTATTTCCCTGCAACGTTTGAATTAATTTGAAATAAAATGACTTCCATATAAGGAAGAGGTTTGATGCACTGAAAAACTGATTGAAACAATAAAGTCAAATCGTTCCATTTAGTTTGCCCTTTTTATACTTTATGTGCCTCCCACAGTTTTAACTTTTACAAATGTGTTTTGGTATGTGGACTTTTGATGTTTGAACTCACATATATTCAAAATTTAATGATATAGAACTTAACAAGTAACAGTTACTTTTTTCTTCGTAATAGAGAAAACATCTATCTAAAGGTAACCTACATATAAATTAACAACACAATCCTATTAAAATTTTATACTTAGAATTTACTAAGTATAATGTGTATTTATTTTCAAAGACTACATTTTCTGTTCTTAATAAAACATATGAGGCCAAAGGTCAAAGATAAAAAGATTAAACATGAAACTAAAGTGATTGTCATTTACTTATTTAACATGGAGTTTTGCATACCTGCATTTTTGAAACCTTGTACATATTTTACACATTATATATAGGGACATTTGTGAATAAATAGTGGCAGTTTTCAACATACTTCTATTCTAAGCGGTTTTGTATGTCAATTCATTGTAAATGAAATCTGATTGATTTTTTTACACATTAACAGCCCAAGAAAGCTAAACTGTGGATTGAAAGAAGACGTTTTGTCTCTGATGGATAGTTGTCTCATTGTTTTGTCATACAAAAACTCCTTACTTATTGTTATTTTTTTTTCAATAAATGAAATGAAATTGAATGCAATGGACTGGGATCAGAAAGGGGACCACGGGAAATATAGTATATGGATAGTCTTGTAGGTTCGGAAAATTTAGCCTCAGGGTCGACCAAAATGATCCACACTCACATCGCAGATTTTGCGTTTGATAAGTCCTCCATAACTGTAGGCCATTCTTGTGCTGAGGGGGATCGGGTCACCCTGAGAGAAACACATTTTGGTTTTATTAACCGGATTTCCGAAGGAAAAATCGGTAATTGATTTGGTGATGTACGGCGGGCGGGCGGGCATCCGGGCGGGCGACTGCCAAACAGTGTCCGTGCATTTACTCACGAACCGTTCAACCAAAGCTTTTCAAATTTTAATATGTTGCTACTGATGACAAAATGGAGGTCAAGTTCAATATTGACGATTTTCACTTTTACCGTTCAGGAGTTATGGTTCTTGAAAGATTGAAAAATGGAGTTTCCAGTCGTGTCCGTGCTATAACTCATGAACCTTTTAACCAAAGCTTTTCAAATTTTAATATGTTGTTACTGATGACAAAATGGAGGTCAAGTTCAATATTGACGATTTTCACTTTTACCGTTCAGGAGTTATGGTCCTTGTGATATTGAAAAATGCCAAGACACAAATAAATATTAAAAAATCCGGTTTGCTGTCACTCTGATAGTCTCTTGTTTCTATTACTTCAGGGTTTTTCCGCGTTTCATCCGTCTTAATAACACATGTCATTGAGAATCAAAGTAAAAAAATTTTAAACGTAGCCTCTGGCTGTTGGCAATCTTTTTTAAATAAATACAGAATTAAATTAACACATGTCTAGAAGTATATATCTAGCTGAAAATTTAAAGGACAATTATAGTTGTGTTTAGTAAATTTGTAATCTCAAATAAACTGTATTTAAGTAGGTTATTTTTTGGGGGATTTGTATCGAGTTTTGCTTTGTCCGTCTGTGCATCAACATCAATTGTAAGCGCAAAAACTCCAAAAGTTTACATAAGGCGTGGATTTTGTACAGTTGTGCATAACATGTACACAATGTAGATATGCATACAAAATTTTGTGAAAATTGGAAATTTAATTCAGGTCAAAACTAATTATCTTTAAAAAGAATCAAAAGTATAATGTTTGTCAACACAAAATCTGTAAAAGTATGAATAAAAAGCAAAAAATCACAAAAACACCGAACTCCGAGGAAAATTCAAAACGGAAAATCACTAATCAAATGGCAAAATCAAAAGCTCAAACACACCAAACGAATGGACAACAACTGTCATATTCCTGACCTGGTACAGGCATCTTCCCATGTAGAAAATGGTGGATTTAACCCGGCCCTATAGCTAGCCAAACCTCTCACCTGCATGACAGTCGCACAAAATTCCACCACATTGACAACGATGTGCGAACAAAACAAACAGACACAATAGGCAAAAATGTCAAAATAGGGGCACAACAGTCAACACTGTTATAATCCTAATCACTAAAAAACAAACAAATATGTAACAAAGAAACACAAAAAGGCATACGGACAAAGCACACAAACAAAAATGAAAGACAAGAATACAAAAATTTACCATAGCGCAATTACGGGATGTATAAGTACCGAGCCACGTCAAATAGATATCACCAAAAATAGACTAAACAGTAAATGTAATATTCAAAAAGACAATTAAAAGAATACTATAACACGTTATTTAGATGATAAACAACGTTAGTACCCAGAATCTATACTTCAAGACCATCGTGTCTTGAATACCGAATAAGTTGGGAAATGTATATACGCAGGTGAAGTTGGTATATTGCTACTAAGGTGGAGGAAATTGATAATTTCAAAATTAAAATCGTCTTGTTTGTCATAGATTCTGGTACTGAGATGACCGTGTATGTCAAATTCGAGGTATAAGTCTAAAAATGAGGCGGAGGAAGCCGTGTCTGTTGTTTCTTAAATTTCTAGTTCTGGGGGATATATTAATGGAACCCAATCAGAAAAGATTGGATTGTTAATGGAAAGAACATCATCAATATATCTGAATGTGAAATTAAATGACCTGGCTTCTTTGATCTTCTTGTTTTTGACAAGTGTCTGAAGGAACTCCGACTCATATGAAAATAAGAAGAGGTCGACAAGGAGAGGCGCACAGTTCGTTCCCATAGGAATGCCGACAATTTGTTGAAAAAGTCTACCTCCAAATTCAACAAATATGTTGTCAATAAGAAACTCCCGCTTGCTGATCACTTATTCCTCTGTGTAGCATGTTTTTCTTTTTTGTTCACTATTAACAAAATATGCCGTATGGTATCCCAAAGTAATAATTTATAGCGTTTGCTACCATTTTTATGTTGAAAAGCATTGTGATTATTTCTTTTATACGATTTTTCAATTTCACATGGGGAATGGTGGTATACAGGGTTGAAAAATCAAAAGGTTTGATAGAACTAATTTTAGAAAAAGATCGAGATTTACAATTATCCAGAAGTTCTTTAGAGTTTTTTAGAATCCACATATGGTTAATACCACTACGCGAGTAAACAGTTTCACAGTATTTCTGAAGACCCTCTTTCACTGCGGACAGAATTTTGGTCAAACTTATGGACAATTCTTTAGTCGAACATGCAGATGAGCCGGCAATGTACCGTTGTTTGTTCGGAACTTTTTGAAGCTTAGGTATCCAATACAAATAAGGTAAGTCCTCCGATTTTTGTTCAATGTAATGTTCATTGAAACCATGAAGGACTTTTGATTCGCCAAAATCTCATCCTTGTCAAATGATATGTTTTTGTATGTGGGATTACCTGAGTGCTCATTTATTCCTAATTCTTTTATAAGACACTCGTAGTAGTACGATTTACATACAAAGTCAATATCATTTGAAGCTTTGTCCGCAGGAACAGCAACATACTTATCGTGAAGACATGATTGACATTTCACAGCCACTTTGTCTCTGAAAACGGACTTTGGTCGATCATTCACACAGTTTTTCAACTTATGAATGTGACGTTTTAACAGAGACCTGATTGTTTTGACCCATTCTGAAAAAGGGTCCAGTTCAACATCTTCTCGTCTCAATAAGACTGAAACGCAATTGTGTACAATTATTTACTTTTATCATGTTTATTATTATTAATTATTTTTTTAGTAAGTGATTTTATTTTAAAACTGGGGCGCGGGCTTGGTTTTAGTTTAAAATCGCTTATATTTTGATTAACTATTTCATTCTGTGTTAAGATTTCAACGAAATGGAGATATAGATACATGTTTGATTTCAGTGTGTCAACAAAATATCCGTCGGCTGCCTTTCTCAAAATGGCTGCTACTTAACTTAAAAAGCATAAAAAATGTACAATTTGATATCCTAAACTTATCTCTATTAACTTCAAAGTGATCGGATTTAAAAAAAAAAAGCTGATATGTAGGTGAAATATGATATCGTGAACTGATTTCTTGTGTCAAAACTATACTTCGCTTTTTTGAAATCTAAGAAAATTGATATGTCAGGAACTATAGGTCACAGTACAGTCTTTAATGACGAGAAAATCCCCATACCATGGGTTAAAGTCCACTGAAAAGAAAAAAGAGAAATAACTCAACTGGGTCTGAAATGTATCCTAATATATTGCCTGTTATAGTAGTACATGATGTGGTTTCAATTCTATAGGTTTCAAAATACTGTATATATTTATACTTCCATGACATTTTCTGAGCGTTGTTTTGTTTTTCGTGGCAAATAATTCATATGAATAATTTTTCAAGGTGCCAAACCAAGTAGAATATTTGTAAGAGTACGCCAGGATGTTTCTGTTTTGAGTTTGTTGTAATTATTTTTGTCTTGCAAAAGGTGTGCGAATGATACTATAGAAAGGTACCGTTTTCTCGTTCAACCTATTCATTAATTGTCTTGGCTACAACCAAGATTTTAACTGGTGGAAATGGGTACTTTCAATGGAAAATCGGTGCATTAAATCCTTTTTCACGGTTGCACATCTGCTTCTTCTTTGAGAACTTTTGCAACGTCTGGATATTTTTCTAGAAGTTTTTGATTTCCGACTTTTAAAATCTCATAGGGCTAATAGTACAGTACATATGCTAAAAAGTAAAATCACAAAAATACTGAACTCCAAGGAAAATTCAAAAAGGAAAGTCCCTAATCAAATGGCAAAATCAAAAGCTCAAACACATCATTACTTCATGTTTTAAGACCAGGCTGAAGCTAGCGAACAATAACTAGCGAACAATAAGCCAGCGAACAATAAGGCGATATATCTAACAACCGAAAAAATGAATAAGACAGCAACGGCCGTTAAATGAAAAATATTTAAAAAGTCAGACATTCCGTCCAAATATTGCAATTTCAACTCTATCATGAAATGGTATTTATCCCATCCATTGATGAAACAAGTCACAACTCTATTTAGGCTAATATTCAGTACCACAGTAAATCTGCATCTGTCAACGGATTATTTGTAGTTGTAAAACCACCTATGCACCCACTTCCATTTAGAACGTATGTAAAAGTAGTCCTTCCCTGTAAAATACAACACCTTTGATGTCATTGTTTAATTGAACTAAGATACACATTTGCAGAAATGGGGGTTGGCCTATTCCATGGCTTCTACAGAAAAATAATGAGGGGTGTCACGGGGTATGACTATATAGGTCTTGTAAAAGAGAAACAGGCGCATCTTTTGCGCAAGGTATCGAAAAGCGCTATGTCCAAAAATCTGAAACTAGAGCTCAAAATTTGAAAAAAATTGTTAAAAAAAGGGGGGTTGACCTATTCCATGGCTTCTAGAGAAAATAAATGAGGGGTGTCACGGGGTATGACTATATAGGTCTTGTAGAAGAGAAACAGGCGCATCTTTTGCGCAAGGTATCGAAGGGCGCTATGTTCAAAAATCTGAAACTAGAGCTCAAAATTTAAAAAAAAAATTGTTAAAAACAGGGGGTTTGGTCTATTCCATGGCTTCTAGAGAAAAATAATGAGGGGTGTCACGGAGTATGACTATATTGGTCTTGTAGAGGAGAAACAGGCGCATCTTTTGCGCAAGGTATCGAAGGGCGATATGTTCAAAAATCTGAAACTAGAGCTCAAAATTAAAAAAAAAATTTGTTAAAAACAGGGGGTTTGGTCTATTCCATGGCTTCTAGAGAAAAATAATGAGGGGTGTCACGGGGTATAACTATATAGGTCTTGTAGAGGAGAAACAGGCGCATCTTTTGCGCAAGGTATCGAAGGGCACTATGTTCAAAAATCTGAGCTCAAAATTTTGAAAAAAAATGTTAAAAACAGGGGGGTTGGCCTATTCCATGGCTTCTAGAGAAAAATAATGAGGGGTGTTACGGGGTATGACTATATAGGTCTTGTAGAGGAGAAACAGGTGCATCTTTAGCGCAAGGTATCGAAGGGCGCTATGTTCAAAAATCTGAAACTAGAGCTCAAATTTAAAAAAAAAAATTGTTAAAAACAGGGGGGTTGGCCTATTCCATGGCTTCTAGAGAAAAATAATGAGGGGTGTCACGGGGTATGACTATATAGGTCTTGTAGAAGAGAAACAGGCGCATCTTTTGCGCAAGGTATCGAAGGGCGCTATGTTCAAAAATTTGAAACTAGAGCGATAATTTGAAAAAAAAAAAAGTAAAAACGAAGGATTGGCCTATTCCATGGCTTCTACAGAAAAATAATGAGGGGTGTCACGGGATATGACTATATAGGTCTTGTTGAGAAGAAACAGGCGCATCTTACGCGCAAGGTATCGAAGGGCGCTATGTTCAAAAATCTGAAACTAGAGCTCAAAATTTAAAAAAAAATTGTTAAAAGCAGGGGGGGTTGGTCTATTCCATGTCTTTTAGAGAAAAATAATGATGGGTGTCACGGGGTATGACTATATAGGTCTTGTAGAGGAGAAACAGGCGCATCTTTTGCGCAAGGTATCGAAGGGCGCTACGTTCAAAAATCTGAAACTAGAGCTCTAAATTTAAAAAAAAATTGTTAAAAACAGGGGGGTTGGTCTATTCCATGGCTTCTAGAGAAAAATAATGAGGGGTGTCACGGGGTATGACTATATAGGTCTTGTAGAAGAGAAACAGGCGCATCTTTTGCGCAAGGTATTGAAGGGCGCTATGTTCAAAAATCTGAAACTAGAGCTCTAATTTAAAAAAAAAATTGTGAAAAATAGGGGGGGTTGGTCTATTCCATGGCTTCTAGAGAAAAATAATGAGGGTTGTCACGGGGTATGACTATATAGGTCTTGTAGAAGAGAAACAGGCGCATCTTTTGCGCAAGGTATGGAAGGTGCTTTGTTTAAAAATCTGAAACTAGAGCTCAAAATTCTGAAAAAAAAATTGTTAAAAACAGGATGGTTGGTCTATTCAATGGCTCCTAGAGAAAAATAATAAGGGGTGTCACGGGGTATGACTATATAGGTCTTGTAGAGGAGAAACAGGCGCATCTTTTGCGCTAGGTATCGGAGGGCGCTATGTTCAAAAATCTGTAACTAGAGCTCAAAATTTGAAAAAAAAATGTTAAAAACAGGGAGGTTGGCCTATTCCATGGCTTCTAGAGAAAAATAATGAGGGTTGTCACGGGGTATAACTATATAGGTCTTGTAGAGAAGAAACAGGCGCATCTTTTGCGCAAGGTATCGAAAGGCGCTTTGTTCAAAAATCTGAAACTAGAGCTCAAAATTTTGAAAAAAAATGTTAAAAACAGGGGGTTTGCCTATTCCATGGCTTCTAGAGAAAAATAATGAGGGGTGTTACGGGGTGTGACTATATAGGTCTTGTAGAGGAGAAGCAGGTGCATCTTTTGCGCAAGGTATCGAAGGACGCTATGTTCAAAAATCTGAAACTAGAGCTCAAAATTAAAAAAAAAAAATTGTTAAAAACAGGGGGTTTGGTCTATTCCCTGGCTTCTAGAGAAAAATAATGAGGGGTGTCACGGGATATGACTATATAGGTCTTGTAGAGGAGAAACAGGCGCATCTTTTGCGCAAGGTATCGAAGGGCGCTATGTTGAAAAATCTGAAACTAGAGCTAAAAATTAAAAAAAAAAATTGTTAAAAACAGGGGGGTTTGTCTATTCCATGGCTTCTGGAGAAAAATAATGAGGGGTGTCACGGGGTATGACTACATAGGTCTTGTAGAAGAGAAACAGGCGCATCTTTTGCGCAAGGTATCGATGGGAGCTATGTTCAAAAATCTGAAACTAGAGCTCAAAATTTGAAAAAAAAATGTTAAAAACAGGGGGGTTGGCCTATTCCATGGCTTCTAGAGAAAAATAATGAGGGGTGTCACGGGGTATGACTATATAGGTCTTGTAGAGGAGAAACAGGCGCATCTTTTACGCAAGGTATCGAAGGGCGCTATGTTCAAAAATCTGAAACTAGAGCGATAATTTGAAAAAAAAATGTAAAAACAGGGGGATTGGCCTATTCCATGGCTTCTACAGAAAAATAATGAGGGGTGTCACGGGGTATGACTATATAGGTCTTGTAGAGAAGAAACAGGCGCATCTTTTGCGCAAGGTATCGAAGGGCGCTATGTTCAAAAATCTGAAACTAGAGCTCAAAATTAAAAAAAAAATTGTTAAAATCAGGGTTGGTTGGTCTATTCCATGTCTTTTAGAGAAAAATAATGAGGAGTGTCACGGGTTATGACTATATAGGTCTTGTAGAGGAGAAACAGGCGCATCTTTTGCGCAAGGTATCGAAGGGCGCTATGTTCAAAAATCTGAAACTAGAGCTCAAAATTAAAAAAAAAATTGTTAAAATCAGGGGGGGTTGGTCTATTCAATGTCTTTTAGAGAAAAATAATGAGGGGTGTCACGGGTTATGACTATATAGGTCTTGTAGAGGAGAAACAGGCGCATCTTTTGCGCAAGGTATCGAAGGCGCTATGTTCAAAAATCTGAAACTAGAGCTCTAAATTTAAGAAAAAAAATTGTTAAAAACAGGGGGGTTGGTCTATTCCATGGCTTCTAGAGAAAAATAATGAGGGGTGTCACGGGGTATGACTATATAGGTCTTGTAGAAAAGAAACAGGCGCATCTTTTGCGCAAGGTATGGAAGGTGCTTTGTTTAAAAATCTGAAACTAGAGCTCAAAATTCTGAAAAAAAATGTTAAAAACAGGGGGGTTGGTCTATTCCATGGCTTCTACAGAAAAATAATGAGGGGTGTCACGGGGTATGACTATATAGGTCTTGTAGAGGAGAAACAGGCACATCTTTTGCGCAAGGTATCGAAGGGCGCTATGTTCAAAAATCTGAAACTAGAGCTCAAAATTAACAAAAAAAATTGTTAAAAACAGGGGGTTTGGTCTATTCCATGGCTTCTAGAGAAAAATAATGAGGGGTGTCACGGAGTATGACTATATTGGTCTTGTAGAGGAGAAACAGGCGCATCTTTTGCGCAAGGTATCGAAGGGCGATATGTTCAAAAATCTGAAACTAGAGCTCAAAATTAAAAAAAAAATTTGTTAAAAACAGGGGGTTTGGTCTGTTCCATGGCTTCTAGAGAAAAATAACGAAGGGTGTCACGGGGAATAACTATATAGGTCTTGTAGAGGAGAAACAGGCGCATCTTTTGCGCAAGGTATCGAAGGGCGCTATGTTCAAAAATCTGAAACTATAGCTCAAAATTTAAAAAAAAAATTGTTAAAAACAGGGGGGTTGGCCTATAAATGGCTTCTAGAGAAAAATAATGATGGGTGTCACGGGGTATGACTATATAGGTCTTGTAGAAAAGAAACAGGCGCATCTTTTGCGCAAGGTATCGAAGGGCACTATGTTCAAAAATCTGAGCTCAAAATTTTGAAAAAAAATGTTAAAAACAGGGCGGTTGGCCTATTCCATGGCTTCTAGAGAAAAATAATGAGGGGTGTTACGGGGTATGACTATATAGGTCTTGTAGAGGAGAAACAGGTGCATCTTTAGCGCAAGGTATCGAAGGGCGCTATGTTCAAAAATCTGAAACTAGAGCTCAAATTTAAAAAAAAAAATTGTTAAAAACAGGGGGGTTGGCCTATTCCATGGCTTCTAGAGAAAAATAATGAGGGGTGTCACGGGGTATGACTATATAGGTCTTGTAGAAGAGAAACAGGCGCATCTTTTGCGCAAGGTATCGAAGGGCGCTATGTTCAAAAATTTGAAACTAGAGCGATAATTTGAAAAAAAAAAGTAAAAACAGGAGGTTTGGCCTATTCCATGGCTTCTACAGAAAAATAATGAGGGGTGTCACGGGGTATGACTATATAGGTCTTGTTGAGAAGAAACAGGCGCATCTTACGCGCAAGGTATCGAAGGGCGCTATGTTCAAAAATCTGAAACTAGAGCTCAAAATTTAAAAAAAAATTGTTAAAAGCAGGGGGGGTTGGTCTATTCCATGTCTTTTAGAGAAAAATAATGATGGGTGTCACGGGGTATGACTATATAGGTCTTGTAGAGGAGAAACAGGCGCATCTTTTGCGCAAGGTATCGAAGGGCGCTATGTTCAAAAATCTGAAACTAGAGCTCTAAATTTAAAAAAAAAATTGTTAAAAACAGGGGGGTTGGTCTATTCCATGGCTTCTAGAGAAAAATAATGAGGGGTGTCACGGGGTATGACTATATAGGTCTTGTAGAAGAGAAACAGGCGCATCTTTTGCGCAAGGTATTGAAGGGCGCTATGTTCAAAAATCTGAAACTAGAGCTCTAATTTAAAAAAAAAATTGTGAAAAATAGGGGGGGGTTGGTCTATTCCATGGCTTCTAGAGAAAAATAATGAGGGTTGTCACGGGGTATGACTATATAGGTCTTGTAGAAGAGAAACAGGGGCCTCTTTTGCGCAAGGTATGGAAGGTGCTTTGTTTAAAAATCTGAAACTAGAGCTCAAAATTCTGAAAAAAAAATTGTTAAAAACAGGATGGTTGGTCTATTCAATGGCTTCTAGAGAAAAATAATAAGGGGTGTCACGGGGTATGACTATATAGGTCTTGTAGAGGAGAAACAGGCGCATCTTTTGCGCTAGGTATCGGAGGGCGCTATGTTCAAAAATCTGTAACTAGAGCTCAAAATTTGAAAAAAAAATGTTAAAAACAGGGAGGTTGGCCTATTCCATGGCTTCTAGAGAAAAATAATGAGGGTTGTCACGGGGTATAACTATATAGGTCTTGTAGAGAAGAAACAGGCGCATCTTTTGCGCAAGGTATCGAAGGACGCTATGTTCAAAAATCTGAAACTAGAGCTCAAAATTAAAAAAAAAAAATTGTTAAAAACAGGGGGTTTGGTCTATTCCCTGGCTTCTAGAGAAAAATAATGAGGGGTGTCACGGGATATGACTATATAGGTCTTGTAGAGGAGAAACAGGTGCATCTCTTGCGCAAGGTATCGAAGGGCGCTATGTTAAAAAATTTGAAACTAGAGCGATAATTTGAAAAAAAAATGTAAAAACAGGGGGATTGGCCTATTCCATGGCTTCTACAGAAAAATAATGAGGGGTGTCACGGGGTATGACTATATAGGTCTTGTAGAGGAGAAACAGGCGCATCTTTTGCGCAAGGTATCGAAGGGCGCTATGTTCAAAAATCTGAAACTAGAGCTCAAAATTTTGAAAAAAAATGTAAAAAACAGGGGGGTTGGCCTATTCCATGGCTTCTAGAGAAAAATAATGAGGGGTGTCACGAGGTATGACTATATAGGTCTTGTAGAGGAGAAACAGGCTCATCTCTTGCGCAAGGTATCGAAGGGCGCTATGTTCAAAAATCTGAAACTAGGGCTCAAATTTTGAAAAAAAAAGAAAAAACATAGGGGGTTGGCCTATTGGTGTAATACCTTCATTGTTTGTTTTTTTTTTTTTAAATTTGCAGTTTTCAAAAAAATGTGGAGAATTTATCTTTGTTTCAAATTAAAAAATTAACATAACATTTCATTGCATATAAGAAAATAACTATCACTGTCAGTTAACCAATCAAATTTCCCCCTTATATAACCTGTGTACAAGCTTTAGTAACCATGCAACCTCAAGTTTCCAAAATATTCTACAGAAACCCAAAATAAAAAAAAAATGATGCTTTGAAATACCCAAGATACATGTATATGTTTATGACCCAGAAATATTTTACTGCAATAAAATGATGTATTAATTACCTACAACTGTCAAATTCAAGGGAATATTTTTTCGACATATTTTCGTATGCAACCGGATGTGACGTACCATGCATTGGTGGTATTACACCTATTCAATTGCTTCTAGAGAAAAAAATAATGTGGAGTTTCACGGGGTATAGCTATATAGGTCTTGTAGAGGTGAAACAGGCGCCTGGTTTGCGCAAGGTTTCGAGTTGCGCTTTGTCCAAAAACTGAAACTAGGGCTCGGAATTTCAAAAAAATCTGGGAAAAACAACAGGAATTTGCCTATTCCATGGCCTCTGGAAAAATAATGAGGGATGTCGCGGGGTAAGACTATAAAGGTCTTGTAGAGGGCGCACAGGTGCATAGTTTGCGTAAAGCTTCAAGAGGTGTTATGTTTAATTATGTCGAAAGGAACTAAAATTTAGTGAGGAACAAAGTCAACTCAAATGTAAAACAAGAACGTGAAAATCGTGAAAAAGACATATTAGAGTCAGCAAAGAAGAATTTCTTGTCATATGAAGTCGAAATGAAAATCCAAATTCCCCCATCCGAATTATATCATGAAAGAGATTGTAAAATGTGTTATGTAAGTACTGATAAAGAGAAGCTGAACACTGGCTGAATTTTTTTCAATGGTATTTCGAAAAAGAAAACGATGAAGATGAAAGAACTTTAGTGCGAAGGCCAGCTGGTATACAACCTTAAAATCTATATACTATTACAGACTTAATAGACAGTCTACTTTGTCTATTTATATCAGAGGTTTTGTACCAGAATAAAACAAAATCGTCAAAGAGTACTGAGTTGTTAAAAAGATATGATAGTAAAACTACATACAGACCAGTTAACTTTATCATTGACAATCCAAGCACCACATTCTTAAAGACGGTATAAGTACCCTCGTCCACGTGCGTGCATTGTCTGATATAAATAAATGTTTACTAGGCAAAAAAAGAAACGTTACCCTTGTTTTTAATAAAAAGAAATTGCATATATTAATTTCGATATATTTTCAAGATTAAAACTAGTGACCTGAATGATTTATCTATCATTTACTATTTTGCTAAAAATTCGAAGACGACGTTACGTCATTTTCTGATTTTAAACAAATAAGCATTTTTTCAAACATTTACCTGTATCGAGATGGAATTGAGTTGTCCTTTTGGTCATTAAATGTGTCGAGCATTATTGTTAACAAAAGGTTGCATTAAAAAATTGAAAAAGTTACACGTAAGTCAATGCCACGTCTAAGTCATAATGAGAGAGAACGAGCTATTGTGTTGTTGGCAGCAAAAATGATTCTAATACAGGTTGCAAATCATCCCAATGTCTCTAGAATGAATATTGAAAGGTTTAAGACTCGTCTTAGAGATACTGGCACGACAAATAATCGTCCCCGAGGTGGCAGGCAACGTGAAACGAAGTTACGTCAAGACAGTCACATCCGCATTATTCATCTCCGGAATCGATTTGTAAACTTGTCACAAACAGTACGACAAACTCATGGAAGAAACAACAACAGGCTTTATTCCCAAACAGTTTGTAACCGACTGCATCAAGTTTGCCTAAGAGCTTATCGTCCGTTGAAGGGACCTATCCTTACGCAGCGTTGCAGGATTTCGCGACTTGAATGGACTCGGGTACGGATTCGATGGTATAGGCTAACAGGGAGATAAGTCTTTTTTACCGATGAATAGAAATTCAACTTGACATTTAGCGACAGCAAAGCCAGTGTCTACCGGAGGTGCAATGCATGATTTTCTGATGCGTGCATACAGGAAACAGATCTGTTTGAGGGTGGCGGAATTATGGTATGGGACGGAATAACCTACCAGGAACGCACCGATCTGACAATTATTGAAGGTAACCTAAATGCAAAAAGGTATAGGAACGAAATTCTGGCTCCACTCGTTCTCCCGTTTCTCCGAAGGCATCGTTTTGACCACGTTTTTCAGCAGGACAACGCCCGTTGTCACGTGTCACACATTTCAATGATTTTTTGGAGAATAATCACATTCGTGTGTTGCCGTGGCCAGCAATGTCTCCAGATTATCGCCAATGGAACATTTTTGGGACGAACTTGGACGACCCATCAGAAAGAACCAAAATCCATTGGAAACGCTCGCCAATCTCCGAATACTAGTAGCATTTTTCAGGGAATGGAACAACACAAAGGGCCATTGATAAAGAGGGATGATCATGGGTAGTTCCTACAAATACTGGAACATGAACGACAACCATATCACCATTCTGAAAGCTCCGAGGGCCAGTTCGGATGCTGTAATGAAATGATGGGTTATTAAAAAAGTAAAAGACAGCACGTATGAAACCTAGTGCGACCAGATTTAAACGGATATACAATAAATGAAGATAGAATATGATGCAGCAATCAAAGAAAATGAGAAAAAATAATGGACAAGCTGGACAAGTGTGACCACAAACTCAAACATGCAGAACCATTTGATTAGTTAACTTCACGAAAATAACATGGCAGAGGACAAGGTGATGAATGTTTGGTATGCAAGGAAATAGTAAGAACAAGAAAGAGAAATTCAATAGATTGACGGAGTGAGATGTGTTAAAATAAACTAGAGTAGATATCTAGACCTTAAAAATTGAGGGTAATACGTTGCATCATAATCATACCTCTCGTAAATACCACACACATGACGTTTACTATGTGCCGCACTTAATGTAATGTCACGTCACTTTGACATGTTGCTATGACTAGTACATCTATCACATAGTCAAGAAGTCTCTTATTTCTATCTTAAGAAGGGAACATGGATACAAAGCTGAAAGCCATTCGTTTCGGACATAAACGAGCACTTACAAGACTGTGGAAGAATTTTGGAGACATAACTGCAAAGATAGTTTCGATATAGAAATTGAGGAAGTCACAGCTATTTTAGATTCCGTGTCACAGAAAAGTGATATTCAGAAAGGTCTTAATGATAGAAGCTTGCTCGGATGAAGACGTGGTGGAAGAAATTCAGCAAACAGATCAGAACATGTTCGTTTAGATTAAAAAAACCGTCAAATTAAAAACTCATTCAATCCTCACAATCAACTAGTCATTATTTACCCGTCAATACTACCGTTTTTCAAGCTAGTCATTTTACTCCCTCTGATACACCCATACATATCATGATTTCACCTACAGGCAATAGTGTACCCGCAAGCGACTCCTCTCAATAAAACCCGCACGCCAATTGATTCAGGTCGACACCTCTTGTACAATAAAATGCAGCATAGTTTTATACTAGTAACCCTGCTATATCAGAGAAAACCGGTAAACCCATTGGTTACTAGTAACCTTTACATTCTCATAACCTTTACAGTCTTGGAGAATCATCAAGAATATAGACCTTCTAGAGAGGTTAGTTTAAACATAGTTATTTTTAGTGGATTTGGAAACAAGTTATCGTAACTTATATTAATGATATCCCTCTCTACTTTGCTGGTGCGAGTGCTGCCTTGTAGCGGCATTAGCCTGGTCTCTTTCGAAATCTACAAGGTTTTTTTACGTGCAGTGATATGGATCTCTCTTAATGCGAGTCAGTCGTTTATCGTACCCTTCCGACAGACTATCATCGTTCCTGAAGACAATACTCGCAAATGGTGTCAAGGCAGAGCCGAAAATTTGGTCCCTGTAATTTTCTCCCAGGAACAGAGATCGAACCACGAACCTTTGTGTTTGAAAAGAGAGGTTGTGACTCCATGTCTAATTGTTTGATCCAAGAAATAAATGACTGAGATTACCTATCCATTTCTCAAAGAGATCATTGACATCACCCCGATTTCGCCTCCGCAATACCTTATCGATGTAGTACGAGGTATTCAGAAGTTCGGGAACCCTGTATTTCCTCATCGTTGAAATCGTGGGGATTGGTAAACACGCGGATCCGACCATGCTGTATAGTAAGCATGTCTGCATACAAGTTACAGTACACCTTATTTTCTTTCATATTTCTTATGACTTGCTGCCAAATGTCTTAAGTCGATCTCTGTTTGGTGGGTTTTTTGTTGGTGAACGAGATCATCTAAAGTACCAATCGCTCATGTGCGCGTAGATTTGGCTTTAAAGTATTTGATCATCTTCCCATCATGGTGTGGTTCCAGTGGTCGAGAAAACCCGGCTTTCCTCCATTCTGGCGGGATAAACGTCGTGTTTTCGGCATAGCACTTTGACCTCTTTGTTGTGGAATTCAGTAACTTTTTCCGTCCATAGTTTTATGAAAATGCTTAACTTAAATACGGTATAAAAAAACAACCTTCATCGTCATACCTTCTTGGTCTTTTGCGGCACTAAACAGTCGTATTTGACAAGGAAAACTTTGATGATGCTAAGAATAAACGTGAATTCTTCGTTCTGTTGAGACAGAACTGTAATCC